CCCGCGCTCCCGGGGAGGAGGGGAGAAGCTTCTGTCCTCTGTCGATCGCTGCACGCCTTCGCGTCTGCGCTTCCCCGTAAGCAGCCAGAAGGCTGCCACGTCGTTTGCACAAAGGTAGTAAAGTGCTCATTCATGAGAGAAATGCTTACCAATCCATGCAGTATTGACGAGCAGTAGCGGCGGAACACCTTCAATTAAGGGGGGGGGGGGGGCACTGCCGACTTTTGGTCCCATTCTTTCCATGCAACGCCCATAGGGCTAATGTTAAAATGCCAAAATCAAAGGGGGGCACGGTGCCCCGGTGCCCTCCCCGCTCCGCCGCCTATGTTGACAGCTACATGTTTTGACGTTTTATTGGCATTGTTCCCTTGCTAAAGCCATCAAATGCCAGCTTTTTTGGTCAATGTCAGACCACTCCTGTGCACGAGCTGGATTTTAGCCGCTTGGACTTGAACCTTTTTCATCGCTGTTCATTAGGGCGAAGGTGTTTTGCATCCATAGAGTACCACACTCCACAGTGTTGTTTTCGAGGGTATGTCAGTACAATTACACGCACGATCGGTGCGCCAAGACAAGGCCATTAATCTGCCCTCGTTGCGTCTGGCATCCGGCGCCTCATCGCCGTCTCCCGGGCTAAAAGCCGCCCGTTACTCGCCGGGTGATCTGCTAAAAGGCTCTCAGGCGCGTGTTACTGCTGCCCCGAACCGATGGCCGTTCGTTGCGCAGCCGTTTGCCGGTGAACTCTGTCGAGGTCGCTCTGGGTACGAACCTCCGCCTCGCGGACCGATGCGGGCTTCCGCCGCGCCGGCGGAACGGTGACGACGGCACAACTTTTAACTTTGAGACTAGTTCTAGGCGCTCACCAGTAGTTGAGTCGCAGTGGGAATCAGCCACCCATATTTGCCGGAAAGTTGCAGCATTTGACGGAGAAGCTAGATCTGAGCTGGCGCTTTGGTGATACAATATCGAAATCAGGTTTATGTAGAGCTTATGAAGGAGGATGCCTATTGCTTATATCGGCTATACACTAATCCTGCAATACCAATGTTTGGTTACTTGGTTTGGTCAATGCAGTTTTATCAGTAGTCAAACAAAGATAAATGCCGGCTTGTTTCCTTTCACGTCACGGTAGGATGAATAAATAGCTAGAAAGACCCTTATTAGAAGAATTAAGGTGCTAGGAAGAAACACCGTGTCGGCTGCAATTTTTCATTAACTCCTTGTTAGATTTAGAAGTGTATTGGAGGGATTGCCTACACTTGGAGCCAGATATAAGTATCGTCCTCATGACCCTGTCATTTGCCAGTCGCTGGGGATCCTATAACCACCAGGGTCTTTGACCGGGCTCGCTCGAATGGGTCCATCGGCTTATTGACCTTACCCGGCGGACGATGTCGATCCGATGCCATACCTCGGCCCGTGCCGCACGTAATTGCCACAGGTACGCCGTCGGAACCAGATGTGGGACTACATTGGTCTGGGCGGCCTGTGCACTCGTGCCTTTTCGGTTAGAGATAGATGGAGAGGGTTTTGAGTGGACTCACGGAGTATGGTCTGGCCTAGGACCGTCTAACCGACCTGCTGA